CGACTACGAGACCGCGCCGCAGTACGAGGTGTGGGTGGAGGCGCGCGACTCCGACTCGCCGCCGCTGCGCAGCGTGCTCAGGTGAGTGCCACTGGCTGGCCAACGGCAATGCACAATTTTAAGCGCACAAGTTGGAACATTAATTCCTTCGTGAATACAAAACCAACCAAAATCTATTAATATTTCAAACGGGTTTATACAAATTATATTTATGAACTCCTCGTTCATTAATAAACTCTGCAAAGAGGTTTTCGTAGTGAGTTTTTCAAATAATGAAACCAATTTAAATTTAAAACTTTTGACTCAGCCACACAGAAACATTCAAATTCCTGACTTACTGTATTGTTTTTTATCAGTTTTCTATGCATTACTCACGGTTTTATTCATTAATACCGAAGGCAACAACGTATGACGGTAATCATCTATTGTAAATTTCTATAATTCCTTCTGTACCATACTCCACGTTTTTTCAATACAGCGGTTAGGTGAACCAGTTTTGCTGTAATGTATCGGAAGCTAAGTGCTATTTTCCCAGATTGATAATATCATATAATACCAATTTTTGTACTCCTGGATGCGGGTTATAAGATAGCGCCAGCTCATATCAACATTGGCGTTTCCTGTGTAACGATTAAGAGAAAACGTGAAAGAATCTGCACGATGGGCCTAGACATCTTTCTTCGGACTTCTGTTCCGTAGCTTACCATGCGTACATAAAATGGGTACACTTACCGATAAAATAATTCCAAGCTCCAAATCGAGATGGCGGTTAGAGCTCGCCATTACATGAGGCAGACTCGATGTGCAATTGTGCCTTTAGAATAAATTGCATGACGTAGTTACTGAGAGAGATGAGATAGAGGAGTGGCATATGCGGCACACACCCAGCTTGACTGAAGTGCAATTTAGGTGGCTGACTGGTCATCCAAGCAAGAGAAGCCCGCAGGGCACAGGCAGGTGACGGGATATCCATTTTCTCTTCCCCGGATACCAGCATGGGGCGGAAGTAATTTTGGTGAAGCGGGCAAAGGGATGTCTTGACACTTCCTCGAAACCTTTCAAAGGAAAAGAATTTTAATTAGATTATTTGAAGCGCATGAAGGGTGGAATATGGATACTATTTCCTGATCACATTTATAATTTCAATGTTATGCTTGAAAAATTACTGAAAACGGTCGTTATACTTGCTGATAGTAGCAATGCGTACTTCTGATCATTCTTCTTTCGCATTAAAAAAAAAACTCTTCTCGGAATTATATCTTTGAGGTACTATTGTCTCTGACAAGACGAATACGACGTCACTCAGGTTTAATAAATTGTCAATACTGTTTGGGAAATACGCTTGGTACCCTTGGTTCACGACAATCAACCCATCGTTTTCGTTTCAAACAAAAATATTTTAAATAATGTATTCCAAAAGTCATAATAAATAGGTTTTGTGATTGAGTTAATCGCATCTTTAGGTTCACTAGAAGATTATTTATAAAAGTAGTTTACAATACATGAACATTCAAGAAGAAATGAAATTGTTAAATTTTACTTTAAAGATACTTCTTCAGTGGTTCACATGATCCACTCGTTTATTGTCCTCACTACAAATTCAAATACTTTTTTCTTCTCTGCTTTCTTATTACTTCAGTTTGAAGTAATGAACTCGTCACAGTTTCCATTAAAGCACAAGGACGTCATTCATATAGAAACACCTCGGCTGACAACTTTTGAGCTGCTCGGCGATCACGTTCCCTCTCAAACAAAGACTGCATTACGGCGTTGCACACAATTGACTATTGTGAGTGTGCGGCCTTTGGTAATTTGGCTGTGACCGAGGAAGTGAAATTCCAGCCCACAACAGTGGAGACATCCGAGCGGTAGGCGGAAGGCATTGGGTCACCTATGGTAATGTCTCATCTCGAATATCTGTCTTTGTGACACGTGACGGTCTTTGTTTCAGTATATCGAACACTCGTGAGTTCTCTCTTATATATGGCGATGTTGAATTTCAATAATACATACGATGTTGAAATTCAATAATTTGAACAAAATAATCGTTTTCAAGTTCTTACTTCTTGTAGTGAAGACTAAGAAAATTACATCAAGTGCATTTTGAGCTTCTCTTCATGAGTTAATTAACATTTCGCTTCTTTTGAGAGTTTTGTGTGGTCAGCCGGCAAATTGACACTGAGTAATAGGGGAAATAAATTTAACGGAAAGTAATTTAAAGTGAAGGCTATTTAAAATAGTGAGTACCTAAATAATGTCGTTTGAATAATGCCAATATTTTATTGCTAATCAATACATAGTTTATATTGCAAATAAATATACGCAACTCAAAATTTTTATAAAAATATTTTCTTAAGCATCACACTGCCCAACTGCACAAAATGACCCATTTCTTCATTTTCTCCAAGTAACATAATGGGAGAGAAACCGTTAACAAAATGGTTGTTGAACATATCTCTATTTGAAATTGTGCTTGTCTATTTGAAAATGTCTTACAAATTTCAATGCTCAACTGCATTTCCTGGGTAATATTTTAATAAAAATAATATTATTTCTATTTGTCATTTCTGTGTACCAACAAAGTTCAGAATACACTAATATACTCGCCGTCCCCCCAAAAAAAATCGGATTTTAAATTTATGTAAAAAGAGCCTTTGTTCCAACATAGTCGAACAACCACTGCATTAATTTCTTTACTTTGCTTACTGATAACTTGCTGAACTTTGAAACCCGGCGTTTCTAACTAACAGTCAAATAGGTAATATATGGTGAAATATATGGTGGCCGCTGGAGCCAGTGTTCTGACGGCGCGTGTTCCGCAGGTTGCTGATCAACGTGACAGACGCCAACGACAACGCCCCGGTGATGGAGCGCGCCCTGTACAACGCCAGCATCCCCGAGGAGGAGACGCCCCCTCAGCGGGTGGTGCGCGTCTCCGCCACCGACGCCGACTCGGGCACCAACGGGCAGGTGACGTACCGCCTCGTGGACGACGGCGACGGCGCCTTCGAGATGGACGCCGACACGGGCGACATCTTCACGGCGCAGCGGCTGGATCGCGAGAGCGTGGCGTCCTACTCGCTGACGGTGCAGGCGATCGACCGCGGCACGCCGGCGCTCGTGGGCTCGGCCACCGTCGTCGTCACCGTCCTCGACAAGAACGACAACCCGCCGCGCTTCACGCGCCTCTTCAGCGTCAACGTCACCGAGAACGCGGAGCCCGGCACCTTCGTCATCCGCATCACCAGCTCCGACCTGGACGTCGGTGAGAACGCCAACGCCACCTACAGCTTCACCGACAACCCCGACGGCAAGTTCGCGGTGGACGCGGTGTCCGGCAACGTGACGGTGGTGGGGCCGCTGGACCGCGAGCACCAGGACGAGTACCTGCTCAAGGTCGTGGCCGTGGACGGCTCGTGGCGGGCGGAGACACCGCTCACCATCACCATCCAGGACCAGAACGACAACGCGCCCGAGTTCGAGCACTCGTTCTACTCCTTCAACTTCCCCGAACTGCAGCGCTCGGTGGTGTTCGTGGGGCAGGTCGTGGCCGCCGACCGCGACAAGCAAGGGCCCAACGCGGTCATTTCCTACGCCCTCAAGCACCCGTCCGACCTGTTCACGGTGGACCCGGCCAGCGGCGAGCTCTTCAGCAAGCGCAGCCTGCGCTACAAGCACACGGCGCTGGAGGCGTCGCCGGAGAACGAGTACGTGCTGACGGTGACGGCGACGGACAACGGCAAGCCGCCCATGTCTTCCGAGTGCCTGGTGACGGTGAACGTGGTGGACGCCAACAACAACGCGCCGGTGTTCGAGCGCGAGGAGTACTTCTCGCCCGTGCCCGAATCCGCGGTGAAGGAGCAGCGCGTGCTGCGCGTCACGGCCACCGACGAGGGCGACTTCGGCATCAACGCGGAGGTGAGTAGCCACACAGCGCCCTACACAGTGATTCTCAGGCGTTGCCTCTGTACACACACTTGGGAAATATATTCCCCATCTTCCTTTTCAAAACAAAAGCTCTGTTCTGATTCAAACACATATCGTTCATGAAACTTCAAAAGTGTCGTAAACAACAACAACTAAAGTTTACAAGGGAGCTAACAAAATGTTAAAAAAGCTTTTACTTTGCAGTCAGACGTAGAATTTACACTTATTTTATGTCGTTATTTTCGTACTTTATCATTACAATGAATAGAACGTGTATATTTTTAATTTGCTTTAAATTATGTGGCATACGTTTTGCCTGAATTTTACAAATTATTGGTATTCAATATTTTGTTTTTATAATACTAAGTAGGGAAATATAATTTTTGGAATGTGACATTTTGTAAAAAGGTGTATTCTTAGTCAAGGGATCCATTGATGACAAAATCTCAATTTCATAATTTATGTGGGTTACAACATTTTGCAAGTTACGAGAGTTAACATGAGCGATATTGTAGTAATTGAAAATAACGCGCTACGGAAACCAAATGTAATTTTCGCCATTTCTTTGTGAATGATATTTCTACCTCACACGTAATGAAGTATTTTCTGAATTCTGTCGTGAGGTAATGCATGTTTAAAGAGTTATTATGTAACTATAAGCTAGCACTTGCGGAAGAATATTATTCAAGGTAATGTAAGCCCACATGCCGAACAGCAATGATCATTTGTCTTAACATCTCATGAATCTTTCGTTCATCTTCAATAGTATGTGACACTGCCATTGACACGTCTATGTGTATACTTATGAATTCTTCAATCCTTCATTGACTTACAAGGGTGCGCTTTGCTCCTCTAGACTTTTTTTATCTCTACTGGAAAAATCTAAGAACCTTCAACAGGTAGACGGGTACGCCCCTTTCAGATCATAAGATCTTAATCAAACTACGGAGGTTATTCTCTGGTTCAAAGAGTCACTTAAACATCTTAAATGATCTTTGTCTTACGTCCCAGGATCAGTTAGTACTAACAGGGAATATCTGACCCAGCGACCAATACTCTTGCATTATCCAAAGCGTATCTCAGAAAGATACTATTAACGTGTTGAATGCAGTTGTTTGCAAGGAAGCAGTAGAAACATTATAAAATTGTTCAATTAAACTATGTTATTAAAAACGAGTATATAATAATATGTCGAAAGAAATAATGATAGTTTGATCTGAATAAATAAAAGAAACATTAAAATTCACAATGAGAGTCGGATACATTATTTGTAGTAACATGTAATGTTAAAATGAATGGGTATATTTCAGAGAAAACCAATATGTAAAACTTCCGTTATCATAGTGAACTCTTCAAGAAAGAATGCTTTATTATCGTCAACATTTGATAAAAAAAATACTCAAAGTATTTAACACGAATCGCAACCGGTCGAAGCCACAACAATCAACATCAAATTGAGAAATCGCGTGAATTTGCAGAATTTGTAATTGAAGTTACTCTGTTGAATTTTCCAATCCTTTTCTCGCCGGATGCAGGTAAAGAGGGCCAAGGCCAACAGAGGTGTCTGCTTTTCTTAACCCCGCCCAAGAAAGCGACCGCTTGGCCTGTGCTCCCGCGTGCTGCTGGAGAGCGCTCCTGGTCGCACCTGCGCTGGCCATTACTTGCGCGTCGTGTTGCGGCGCGGCCTCATTACCGCGTAAACATTCCTGGCTTGGCCCAACGCTAGCCCCGCGCCCTCCTCTTGGGCATAAATTCCGCCGGAGCCCGGCGTGGGCCCGACACTCATTCTGATAACTGTCCCGCTGTGCGATTCATACAGCCTCGCGGCTCCAGGGCGACTGGAGGAGGGCGGAGGCGAGGCGGGCGGCGGCGGAAACAGAGAAGCTAACGAGGGCCGGGAGGAGCTGCGGCTGCAGTAGTGGAGAAGAGGAGGAGTCGTATATCGGTGGAACAGTTGAAGAGGGCGGTTATGATTACTTATTCATGCGAGGTTCAACTGGAGATGTTTATTGTTCCGTGTCGGCGTTCCTTTATGGCTAGTAAGGAATACTGGCAAATATTACATGAAGATTACTTTGCGGTAAAGATGATTCTTTCCTCCGGAATTTTGCCACAGGCACGTATGAGTTACTTTTACTATTCTAAAAGGATGTTTCAAATTAACTACTTCTCAACCACTTCTAATTGTATCACATGGCACATCCTTCGTATTATTTTTCAGGCATACTTCATCCATTTGAAACATTTTTACCATGCCTTTTGTTCACAAGAATTATAGATACATCAAAATTCGTTTTGGATTGATATTCTTATAAAAAGAGATATAATAATTGATAATTAAAAACATAATTCAAAGTGTAACAACTTTGTCTTATCAAGGGATACAGCCGTGAAAACTTATCCCCCATAGTTACACACAATCTTTCCGAGGCTTCGGAAGATAACGACTAGCGTAGTCATAAATGATAATAATTATTGTTATTATAATGACATTAATAATAATGCCTTTATAGAAAAATTGTATATCTTTACACATATCGCTATAAAACTGAACAAAACTATATGAGACTGAGGATTTCAATGACCTCAGGATTACATTTCAGTATTTGTATGTATCCAGTTTCATCAACTTCTCCGTTCACAAAATCCTCGCGTTCCTCCCACTAGCCATTACGGGATACAGTGACTCAGTATTCGAAATCGATGTGTTCATATTAAGCTCCTGAGCTAGCTGAGATAGATCGCTAACCCATTTTGCGTCTGTGAACGTAACAATCAGTTTAAAAATAAATTAAAAAAACTGGCAGTTAATGTACAGCCCAGTAGGGAGCGCTCGGCTGCCCTCGACTGCGCTGATCGGGCGTGTGTGCGGCGTGCTTCCAGGTGCAGTACCAACGCCTGGGCGGCAACGGCTCCGAGCTGTTCGACGTGGCGCGCGACACGGGCTGGATCACGGTGCTGCGGCCGCTGCGCGGGCGTCTGCTGCAGCGGCTGGTGCTGCGCGTTCGCGCGCAGGACCGCGGGGTGCCGCCGCAGCACGCGGACGTGACGGTGACGCTGGTGGTGGCCGGCGACAACCGCCACGCGCCGGTCTTCACCGCGCTCAGCTACCAGGTGCTGGTGCCCGAGAACGAGCCGCTCGGCGCCACCATCCTCACCGTGTCCGCCGCCGACTCCGACCAGGGCCCCAACGGCATGGTGCGCTACGCCATCTCGGGCGGCAACGAGCGCGGCGAGTTCGCCGTGGACGCGGTGAGCGGCGCCGTCACCATCCAGCAGCCGCTCGACTACGACACCGTGCCCGAGTACCACCTCAACATCACCGCGTCCGACCTGGCCTTCGAACCGCGCGCCGCCACGGCCATGCTCACCGTCACGCTCACGGACATCAACGACAACGCTCCGGCCTTCGACCAACAGCTGTACCGCGCCTTCTTGCCCGAGAACTCGCCGCCGCACTCCTTCGTGTTCCGCGTGGAGGCTCGCGACGCCGACTCGGCCAAGAACGCCGTCGTCCAGTACTCGTTGGTCGGCGGCTCCGGGCGCGACGCCTTCAGCATCGAGTCCAAGACGGGCGTCATCTACTCGCGGTCCAGCTTCGACTACGAGGAGCGCAGCGTGTACGCTCTGGACGTGGTCGCTGCCAATCCGGACTCCCCGATGTACGGTTCGACTCGCGTGGAAGTGCACGTCACCGGCCAAAACGAGTTCTACCCGCGCTTCGTGCAACCCGTCTTCCACTTCGACGTGTCCGAATCCGCGGAGGTGGGCACCAGCGTGGGGACGGTGCAGGCCACGGACGCGGACGCCGGCGACGACGGCGTCGTCTACTACCTGTTCGTGGGCGCCAGTAACGATCGCGGCTTCAGCATCGGCGCGGACACGGGCACCATTCGCGTGTCGCGCCGCCTGGACCGCGAGACGCAGAACCGCGTGGTGCTGACGGTGCTGGCCAAGAACGCCGGCGGCATCCGCGGCAACGACACGGACGAGGCGCAGGTGGTGGTGTCCGTCCAGGACGGCAACGACCCGCCGGAGTTCGCGCAGGCCGCGTACGACGCCACGGTGTCCGAGGCGGCCGCTCCCGGCACGCGCGTCGCCACGGTGCGCGCCGTCGACAAAGACGTGCGCCCCCAGAACAACCAGTTCTCCTACTCCATCATCGGCGGCAACGTGGGGCGCGCCTTCAAGGTGGACCCGCAGACGGGCGACGTGGAGACGACGGCGCGGCTGGACCGCGAGACGATGCCGGCGTACACGCTGACGGTGGGCGCCATCGACGCCGGCGCGCCCCCGCAGACCGGCACCGCCACCCTGCGCATCTCCGTGCTGGACGTGAACGACAACGGGCCCGTGCTGGAGGCCGCCGGCACCACGGGCTACGTGGCGGAGAACGAGCCGGCCGGCACCAGCGTGCTCACGCTCAGCGCCACCGACCCCGACCTGCCGCCCAACGGCGCGCCCTTCACCTACCGCCTGGTGGGCGGCCGCCACAGGGACCTCGTCGCCGTCGAGCCGCACACGGGCGTCGTCAAGACGACGCGCAGCCTCGACCGGGAGGCCACGCCCACGCTCGACCTGCTGGTGAGTACACCCTCCGTGACGGAGCGGCTGGAGCCTTACCTTCCTCCATCTCTCTGGTCTTCTTCATTAACCCCCCGTATTCCAGCTTCATATATTTATGTAATTGAATAGTTTTCGAGAAGATAAAGAGCATTACCTTAATTGTTCCCTAACGTAATAATTATGAGAAAACTATTGTGAAGCCGTTCCATGGAGGGGTGATATCCGTGCTTTTACTCCACTCGTCGCCTCTGATATCTCATAAGCTTTACCATTGTTGTAAGTCTGACAAGTTTGACTAGTATTAGAAAGTTTCCCAGCATGATCATTGGCTTCTCCATTTGTACATATCGTGCTACATTTGCTAATTATTTATGAAAATGAACCCTCCTTCTCAATTTTAATAGAAAACTAAATCCAGTAATTCCATGTAGATATTTTGTATCATTTACTGTTTTCCTTTCTTGGACTCTTGAAGTAAATAAATGTTCTTTGTGATAAGTAATACAATCGGTTCATGCATATCCGGAATATCAGATTTTTTTACGATTGCATAGCATTTAAAATTATTCTAAGTCACAAATATGTTCCTTTTTTTATATTTCATAATCTTTACTCCGATTCTACTACATATGAAAACTAGTATTCGTTAGGCTTTTGCGGTAGCATGTCAATTATGGCAATTACTTAAGAATTTAGTATATACTGGATTCAGAGCTGTGGTTGGTTTTGTCACAAAGCATTTGTTTGGAAAGAATATAAATACAACTTTAGGAAACATTTACAAACTTTTTCACAGGCTTTACAGAATCTATAAAACCATAAAACAATTGAAGATATCGTCAGAAATATAATATCGGGATGAATTATGACATCCTGATAACATTTTAATGGAAAATATAGTTCTGTTAGGTAAAATATCTTAAATTCATCTACGATGTCCGAGTTTCCTATTAAAGATTAAAAATATAATTTCAGCAGCTTCAATTTTTTTCTTGTCAGTTCTATTAAGGTTCATCCATAGCTTATCACTGGCACTGGCATTATTTTATAGAATTTGCATAGGGGGAATTATGTGCTTTCTCTCTCTCAGTCTATCGTCTTGTACCATTGCAGAGAATGGTCTACTCTCTATGTCACGCGTAGTCATTGTTTACTCTGCTCTTTAGACTTACAATTGTGCTCGAGCAACGGGTACACTCGCTTTCAACAATCGCATCTTACTGGCAAACCGTCATTTTTATATGGCGCGGGGACTCTTGTGTGCAATAGTATCGAAGTAAATAAAAGTACTAGAATACACTTTCCCTTACGAAAGAGGAAGAAAATCACCATCTTTAGCGTTCGTTTATTATGAAGCCAATATTTCCATCATTTCAGATTGAAGTCAAACAGCACTCTTTAAACAACCACGATAAACAGAAACACAAACAACGTGACTGAAAACGCATACAAATTCGAAAAGTACGCTGTATTCCAAGCATTAAAGTGATTGCTGTGACACAGGTAGTGGTATCGCTCACGATCTTCGAAGAAAATTCACCCGGCGTACGTAGAATGAAGCTTTCATGTAGAGAGAACCATTTGCAGTAATGACTCCATTAATTGGAACGATTGTACTGTAGGTTATCGTTGAATTTTGAAAAATCTGTTAATACTAGAAACAGTGTATTTGACTTTGATCATAGTAAAAAAATATTTTTTTAGATTTTAGCGGTATTGCTTGGAAGGGTAATCAAAATAACACTCGAAAATGGTGAAAGTAACGAGTTTAGTTTTACTCATGTATTTAAATAATGAATGTAATAAAATAAAACCTAGACAAATTGCAATAAGAAAACTAAAAAAACAACGTGGGGATAAGTCTGTCCCGAGAGTTCCGAGTGGGAGAAACCCGCGTCGGTTGAAAGCAGCTCGGTTAATGGGCCCTCCTGTGCTGTAAACATTTTCATCATTTCGCGCTGCAGTCAATCGCATGGCCACGCGTGGAGCAGTGGCGAGCGGCCGCCTCGTGGGTGGCTGTCGGCGCCGCCTACGCCGTCCACATCGCCTCGCAACGAGTTTCAAAAGCTTATCGCGCTGTCAGGCGGGGTTCGCATCCCGGCTCTTAGCGGCCGCGATGCTGCTGGTCCAGGGGCTTTCCACCCCTTATCTCCGCATTGGCGTTGACGTCAAGATAACGCTGCAGGGCGTTCTGACACGGCCACTCCCCTCCCTCTCGCCTCGCTTTCTTTTCTGTTGTTTTGCATCGACTATTTCCACTTATGCTTTATTCCTGCGGTACGTATTCTTTTTCTTACTCTTCCGTCCAGTCTTAACTCTCTTCTTATCTTTGTACGTTCTTCTTTTTTTTGGTGGGGTTTGTCTCACATTTTCCTTGCTTCCTGTTTATTTTCTTTTTTACGTTTTTTTTCTCCTGAGCGGTCTATTGAAGGGGTGGACGTTGAAGCCGGTTAAACGTGTTGTCGGTTTATATCGAACGAGGTTATAGAGGAGAACATTGCTTCGTATAACTGCACAAGTGTAAGAAATCCACCCGTTGTGCACAGAGCAATAGACACCGCTGCAGTTGCGAAAAGATGGTCCTTGTCGAGTAGGTGGAATATAGTTTACTCGCCTCTTCACTCCGCCAGTCGTATTTTGCACACCAACTGAAGAAAAAACGTAAATTTAACGTCAGAATTATTGAAACGAGAACAAGTTCTGCGAGTTGGCTGTGACTCTCAATGCCATTCATAAACATAAACTTCATCCCATTCCTGTTTCCTAACAGGTAAACGCATTTTGTCCCGACACGAAGTGACAAGACTTGTTTCAAAGATATTCGACACTTTCTATTTTCTCTTAATTACATGAAAAGTCAAGACTACAGAGCATAGCAATATAATATAAATAGTTGCTCGCCGCTTCCATTCGGTCGTTAGCTAAGAAATAGTGTTTTCGTTAGATTTCTTTACTGTTCGCATTTTGCACATATTTCAAAGCATTATAGTAAGACATGATTAGCGCATTTCCTAACAGCTCATTACAGAAACATTTGCCATCCGTTTACATCAATATACATAGATTAAATTCGTCTGAGAGACACACTCGGGCTCCATGTCTAGTCTTTAATCCTCCAACGTGTTTTCCACAGTATTTACTCTGTAATTCTCTATAATTTTCGTTTATTCGTCTTGTTTCTACGTCTGCGAGAGTACTACTATACGTACAATATATTGCCGTGTCAAAAAAACAAAAAAAAAAACAAAAAAAAACAAAAAAAACAAATTTTCATTTCACGTACCTATAAGGAAGAAATACAGACGGAGTTACAATGTTTTCGTGCTATTTATGTTTATAATGTTGGATAACATTCTCTTGTTTTGGAGTACCTGGTTTTGATAACAAGCGACAAGGAGAAAATTAAATTTGATTTGTGCATCATCATTGTCCTCGTTTCTTAGTTATGGTTGTCAGTCAATTATGTCAAATTTTGTTTTAACAAATCAGCCTAATAACCACCTAATAAATCATACATTGCAGCGCAAATGCAATACATCCACTTGCATTTTGTTTTTTGGTTATTTGAAAATAGAAGCAGCAACAACAGGCAATTCATTTAAATAACTTGGATGTGAAAATGTAACGTGAAAAAAGTTCTTATCCAAACAAAATCTTGCTATCGTTTCTAAGAATATCTGAAAATATATTACATTTCATTTGTTCTATTTGAATAGTTATATATATATATATATATATATATATATATATATATATACATTATATATAGTCAAATATTAATTACACAACTAATGGGAATGTGAAACGTGTATTTCAAGCAGTTATTTATGAACAACTAGTGTAAGAAATGGCAAATTTAGTTCACATGAAATTCATTTATAACGTAAAGTAATGATGTTCTGGACACTGTTACATCATTCCATGAACTCTGTTCACTAATATACATGTCTATTCTTTGCGTTTCTTTTATTGACTTCATGAAGACAACTCACATGAAAAAGCTTCTGAAAAAATTAATTCAGTAACCGCAACCGATCTTGGTTGTTTTCTTACGCTTTGTGTACAATTTCTACTCATTTAGAATCTCGTTCTACTTCGGCGTCCACGAGTTAATCATGCGGGCGACTCGGAACGGAAATGGAGCCGGCGCAGCAGCCTCAGACCATAAATTCCTCCCGCACTTCCCTCCGCGGAAAAGCGGCAATGTCCAGCAGATCGTGAGTTATACGCAAACGAACGGATCGTGGTTGTGTTTTTCGCCGTGCAATCGGCGCGGGTTTCTTTCTCACGCTGGCGGTGCTGTTAGGAACTCGGAGTCACGGCTCGAAACAAAGCGCTTCACGTCTCCCAGCGCATGAAACGATCACTCCCCCACTACGCGGCGCGTCTCCCCTTAGTACGTTATGGTAAATGTATAATCGATAATCTATCGCTCCGATCTTGTACCTCATTTTGTTGGAAAGCTTATCGCGTCTCGAAATCGCACGATCGTTATGTTGGTTCTGTTGCAGTCCGAGCTCTTAAAACGTAGCCGCGAGGCATTCCGAAGGAACGTTATCATCTAATCGCGTTTTATGAAAATCGGTAATTGGTTGATTGCGCTCCGTAGTGGGAGAAATGCGCAAATTGGCAGAGTTACCCCGAGGGTCTCCGCAAGATCGATTGCCTGACAGAAGATCGAGGTATAATGTTCATGATCACGCCAGGTTCTACTTCTTATTTTATTGTCGTGTGAGGAGTATGATAAATATTTTATAAACAGTTCCATGCAAACGTGTTTGTGGGTAGAGGCCGGGAGACGGCGCTGCCGAAGCAAGCGCAGAGGGCCCGCGCCGCGAAAAAGAAGTCGGAAAAGACGCCGTTGGCCTTCACGACTCATTCGCTATTCGCGCGCTAGAATAGAGAGAGGCCGTCGCCACAGACAGACTCTAGGCTTCGCCGGCACGTTGCACGTCATCGTCTTTCTTGCCGCGCGGGCGCGCAGCCACAAAACGAAGCGGCGGTGGGGCGGCCGGGCGGCGGCGCGCGGCCGGGTACAGTGTCCCTGCATGATGAAGTGCCTGCGTACTCACGTTTCAGCGGGCGCTTAGTGGTTTCATGCTTTGTGCGAGCGATTCTTCGGGGGGCCCCGCTCCGATGAACACGTAAGAAACTTCTGTGAAAAGGCGCACCTTTCGGAGCGCCTTGGAATAAATCCTTCAGGCATTACGGGCTTACCGTGTGTTCGCGGCGCGACGCCATCTTGAGGCAGTCACGTAGCGGCGTTCGTCCGCGCCGCAAAAAGCTCGGTCCGACCGGAAAAGAAACAATGACAATCGCCCCACACGCGTGCGTTGGAGTTTTTCCGCGGGCGCTTCCACGGGGTAATTAGCGAAAGCACGTTCGCTGCGCGGGCGCGCCGGGGCGTTGTGCGTGCGCCGAGCCTCGCCGCGGGTTATCTCGCAGGGAGGAATGCACGGCCGCCCTTGGCGCTCTGGAAACGGCCAGATAACCGCGACTTAAGCCGCCGTTTACCGGCTGCGAGAGCCCCCGGCGCGCCGCCGGCCTCCGGCCTACACGCTCGATTCAAACAGAAGATTTTCCATTCCATTTAATTAACTAGGTCGAGTAAACTCACTCTTCCGATGAATCGTTTTCTTCGTGTTTGTAGAATTCGATTAGCTAAACGGCGAAGGTCCATGTGAATAGGTCAACGCGCAACTTTTAAGGCATCATTGAAGGCGCTTCGGACGTTTACAAACGACCTTCGCGTTAGGAGCATAGCAATGCATTCGCATTCATGTATTATGATATGCAGACGCTTCTATTATGAAGAGAGTGCTGAATGCAGTGGACTACCGTGATCACTTCAGCCGAGCTCTCAGTGCAGTAGCATTGACTTCTGATCGTTTCTCCGTTGACCACGTTCTGCTGGGGCAATATTGTTTCTTTTCGAATTGTCTTCTAGCAAACGTTTCAGTGTAAAAATATATATGAATATGGTAATTTGTGCAATATTCTTGCCGAAACAACAGTCGGTAATGTTATTTTCGATCTCCATTTAAATACACATTAACAAAATAGTCGTTAACAATTTTTATTTCCCTAATTGTTTTCTCAGATAGATAGTGATACTGGCATGGGATTTCAGATCTGAAATAATTCTAACGCCTATTAATGTTATACGAGGTGTCATTATCTGGAAGTGATCTCGCAATTCCAATCCAATAGTCTGATTCCACTTTCTTACTTTAAACTCTATCGGAAAGTCTTCTAACAAAATCTCTCAATTCCAATGTGGACTGCTGCTTCATCCATGTTAGACTAGTGTATGTTTGTTCGAAATGCTTTTCAGAGAAGGGATGAGTTCTTCGACTGCAACGTAGTGAGTACTATCTTCTGGGTGATCTCTAATAAGTTATGATAAGTTGAATAATGCAAATAAGTTTCCGATAACTTAGAAACGAAAATGACTATTTTTCAAATATTGCTAACCTTGCAATATTTAAAATTTATTTTTTGCTATTTATGTAAAACTTTTACTCATCTTTCAACTTTTCATAATTACAATGACGGGAAGGGATTCTGAAACTCAAGAAAACGTGTGCAGATAATATTTTCCCCCCTACGTCACATACAGTTTTTACTGTTTTTATACTGAATAAATCTAAATCAAAAAGAAAAGGGAAAACTGTTAAAATAAAGATTTATTCGTATTATGGCTTTTACTAGGCTAAACCTGTAACACCCAAACACTGTTTCAGTCTCTTTCGAATCACGAATGCGCCCACGAGTTCCTCGCTTGTCGGATCAGCAGAACGCGACACCCTTCGCTTCACGTACATAATACCGAGGGTCAGGCATTTCTACACAGGGCGAGATTCGAGTTGTGACTTCGCACAAAAGTGCGTCCAATCGGGGACTTGAACGAAGGAAGACATTTCTTGATCCGTACAACTACTATTACAAACCATGTGCTTTCACGTACAAACATATGTCAGTGATTCTTGGTCCGAGAGAGCAATAAAAGACAAGGGTGGACTTGTATACAACGTCGGTGAGGCTTCATTTTCCCCGTAGCGCACGGCCAACGTTGTTGTTCGTCGAGTTGGGACTTGTTGGGCTTAGGAGCCCCGGACGCCCTTGCCCGCGCTCACCCGCCGCCCTGCCCGCAGGTGGAGGTGGAGGACAGCGGCGAGCCGCGCATGAAGGCGCAGCACGCCGTGTCGGTGGTGGTGCTCGACCAGAACGACAGCCCGTCGACGCCGCGCGTGGTGCACGTGTTGGTGCACGTGCTGGACGAGCCGTCGAGCGGCGGCGCGGCGCTGGGCCGCATCGCCGACGTGCACCCCAACGACGCCGACTCCACGGGCGAGTCGGCGCGGTTACCAGTGCCGGCTGTGTTGAGCGTTGACGCCGCCGGACGGCGGCCGCCGCAGCATCCCGGGTCAGCAGCTGCGACCTAGCTGCTGGCCGGCGCCCGCGGCGCACGCGGCGACCCCGCCCCGGGCCCGGGCATTACTCCTGCGTTACGTCCGGGCAGACGACGGCGCGCACACCCCGAGGTGCTGTCCACCGTCACCGTCGAGATTTCGTGTCGTTCGACAACCCACCGTCGAGAACAGCATTCACGCGTGCGCGTCGACAACGAGACGGGGCGTCCACTTCCTGCGCGCACGCGTTACAAGCCAGCTGCTGGACGCCCATGCGCGGGTTCCTGCCGAACACGGCACGTGCCGACCTCACGGCTGTTCGCTGCTGCGGGAACGGCGTAACGGCCGACGACATAAGTGGGGGAGCGATTGGAGGCGGCCGTGGCGGCCGCGGCCGCGAGGCGGCGGTATCGTAACGCCGCGCAGCTGGCCGAGGCGTGGGCGGCGGCTGCCGGCGCTGGGCGGGCGGCGCCGTCATCTGGGCTACTCCCCGTGCGCGCAAAGCCCGCCCCGCGCCCTCCCGCGCTGTTAACGTCAGAGACATCGTGTTGCGCACCAGCGCATCGCCTCATTCCGTTAGCATTGTTGGTAGTACGAGTACCATGGGTTGTGCAGAGACAGCGCTCCCTGGAGCTACTCAAGCCAAGCTCGTCAAGCCGACGGCTACTCTCACCTGCCGCTCCAGCCTACGGCTGCTCGACGCGAGCCGCGATGCGAGCGCAGGCAGGAACCCGGGGTGCTCCGCCCACCCGGTGCCTGCACGCGGCACTGTGCCGCCGCCAGGGCTTCACTTCCCACGGTGCGTGTGCCCGCCGCCGCGCCCGGCCGCCTGTGCGAGGCGGAAGCGCGGGTCCGTGATGCAGTCGGCAGCCCGTGCCTGCAGCGGCGCTCCTGGCCGTCCCAGCGCCCGAGTGCGGCTCCAGCTTCTTCTGCCGTGTGCCCGCCGGGCTACCGGGCAACCAGTGCGAGGCGTGCCGCGCTGCTCGTGCCCCCCAACCCTGCCTCACGGCGGCCTCTGCATCAGCTTTGCGACCGCGGCTACCGCTGCAGCTGCCCTCGCGCCAGGTAAGTCCGCTGCTTTTCACTCACTTCACTTCTTCTTGAAACAAGTTTGTGTAAATTTTCGCATTCCATACTTAAGTAATTGGTGTAATCGCAGTTGTCTCGGGTTTTACCTGTTGGAAAGAACGTAGAAGAGGTAGTTAACACTTGGTATATGTGTAGCCGGATGAAATATACTGAAATTATTGTGTAAGGCGTAGATGATCCTGAGCGATAATAAATCGCATTCCGGTTTTAGAACAAAAAACCGAATGCTTAAAAATAAATGTCAACATTTCCTACGATAAAGATGTGGTGTAGTGATCTACGGAGAGGTAAAATGACATCTAAAGTCAGGAGGCCAACATTCATCTCAAGTACTTTTCGTGTAAAATATTCTTAACTTTCAGTGCGTTGAGACTTCAAAGCAGGACGTTACACAAAATCAACTCTTACCCACAGATTCCGCTACATAGGACGATACCGTTTTTTGGCATAACAGTTAGGTGAGAACAGTAGGGGCGGGCGGCGGCAGAAAAGGAGAATGAGTAAATAAAATTAACTAGATATCTGGCTGTCCTTGTGATTTCCGCGCGCTTGCCGTGCGCTCGCGCTGGCAACCACAGGAGTGGTCTTGCTGGCTGGCCGCAGGTACGGCCCGCACGGCGAGCGCCGTCTCGACCTTGCGCGTCGGCGAGCTCTTCGTGATCATTGGCTTCCCGTCGCGCTGGACGCCGGGGGCAACGCAAACGGACATCTCGCTGGTGGTCGCCACCGGCAAGGCCCCAACGCGGTTGCTCGTGGTACAAACTTCGCGCGGCAGACCGGGGGCCGCGTCAGACTTCTTGGCGCGTGGGATGCTAGTGCGAGGGGGGGGCGGCGCGGGTTTTTCGTGACGGCGCGCGACCACCGCCGATCACCTCCGGTTGTCGGGTGGGCGTGGCCGGTCGGGCGGGGCGCAGGTGGAGCGAGGGCGGCGCGCGCGCGGCTCCTGCCGCGGAGTGCTCAAGGGACCGGCGAGTGGCAAGGACGGGACGCGCCGCCGGGTCATCGCCTCAGGGCCGGTTGGGGGCCGCCGGCTGCAGCCGAACAACGGCGACGCCTGCGAGGACTGCCGGCCCGCGACGCGTCTGCTACGCGGACGGCCACGGACCCGCGGGGTCGGTGAGTTGGCACGGCCTCGTGCTCCAACTAGGACGACATCAAATGTATCCTCCACTCAGCTGGTGCGTGATCCTTTACCAGGGACCACATGCCAACCGTACCCGCTAACTACTCGGTCAATTGCTGTGCATTTGCGGTCCCGACTACGTGGTGCTGAAGTTATATTTGCCGGCAGTACATCTCCTTCAGCCTTCTCTCAATCAACTGAATCTTAAATACATCCAAACTGCCAGTTAACGCCCGGTTTAAATAAATTGCTTTAACGATCAGTCTTCTACGCTATACCTGAGCCATACTCCGGGGGCACGGCACATAGCACACTCGACGGAAGGGTTAGCCACGCCCATTCACGGAACATCAGCAACAGCACTTTCTTCATAATATTTGATGACCAAACATGAGACGCTCGTGTGAACCACAACTCTCCCACAACAGGCTCAACACAAGTGAGACTCATCTGATCTTATCCTCTTGTCATCACGATGAATCTTCGTCTCCTCGTCTCGCTCTCTATTCGCCGCCCCGCCACGTCCAGATTATTACAGACGCATTCGTCAGACTGAGCGGGTACCACCAACAGGGGGAGAGCGACGGGGCAGCCTAAACGATTCAACGGCGAAAGGTAATTTGCGGGAATCGTAAGCAGACCGGAATAAAAATTTACGGACGCTCCTCGCGTTTTTCATCTTTTTTTCCCTGCGTTTTTTAACCACTTCTTCTAAAACATTTCTAAGTCTGTTACTGCAAGACGCGTGCCGTGTGATGTCCAGACGGCATTTTTGTCCCGCAAGCTGTATAGCCGGACGCCACCCGGTGTTAACTTGCGCGCTGGAAGAGGGGGAGGCGACGATAGTTACTTCGTGGGCGAAGATAGGCGGGAATGGGGGTATCTGGTTTCGTAACTTAATAAAAACAGTGGGTCAAAAGTCTTGCAAGAGTGAAAGCCACATAATAGCCGAGCGAGGAAAAGTCCAGCCGGCGCAGTCATTGCGACGCCAAAAGTCATAGCGCTTAGCGGAGCCTCTTTATAGAGGTGCGTTAACGAGGGGCGCAACTTCGCTACACCTAGTTTGACCGTCCATCTGCGGGCAGTATCATCGAGTCTAATTGGTGCGCGCTTTAACTGTGAGGCAGCTTGTATAAGGAGAGAAAAAGAAACGGAAAGACTGTTGACGATCAAGCTCACTGGAGAAACAGACGGTTGAGAGTGCGAGGAAGAGAGAGACAGGTCATCTATAAAGACGTGGCAAATAGTCCTCGAGGTTTATTTGATTCTAAGAGTAACTGAACATAGTATACAGGGTATATTATTTTACAAGAACGACACGAGTACTTACACCAACCAGGAAGCTACTTAACAAGACTGCCAGGTACATACAACATACACACACAATTGAATACACGGAAGTTACTATGAACTAGATGTGTAGACACAGAAATCAATTTGCGTATTAATCTCCAAAACCACCACAT